AACCCCAAAACCCCAAAACCCCAAAACCCCTTTAGCCTTATAAAATCTATTGAGCATCAGTATATAAGTTGGGAAATAATAAAACTTGTAATAATTAAGATAATAATCAAATTGAACCTGATCCGTCACTATTACGTGACGAAGGCAATTTGCACAGTTTTTGGTTCATTTAGTGGTGAGTTCCTTTGCGAGATTTCTTGGTCTGTCTGGGTCAAAGCCAAGTTCAATTGTCAAGTCATAGGCAAGTCTCTAAAGAGGCATCACGCACAGCAAAGCAGACATATACCCTGAGTTAGGAACGTAAAAGATTCTCTTTTAACAAAAGTTCTCAAGAATGTCCCTCCTTTATTTATCTTAAATATCACAGATGACAATAGGAGTCATGCGAGCTCTTTCAGCAAGCTTGAGCATAGCATCGATCATTTCATCCGCATACTTGTCACTGAGTACAACGAATACAACTGGGGTGTTTTCGTTCTTTTTTAAATAATTGTAAAAGTGGTTACTAATGTTATTAATGTTAAGACACTGGCAGTGATTATAAGTAAGTTCTTTAATTTTAAGTGCTCCCTCTTTAGCTACAATTTCTCCGAGCCCAGTACCCAGTAAAAACAAGTGCTTGAAAGCCTTAATCTCGCGTGCTATTGATTTTGAAAAGCTAACGCAGTCGTCAAGAACTTTCTGCACATTCGAGGAGAGGAAGCGTAATTCTGAGATTATGCCAGCACGAATCTTTTTCGTTGCTTTAAAGTTTTTCCTCTGAGCAAACCACAAAGATACAAGAGTGAGAACAGTAGCCTAAGAAATAAAGGCTTTAGTTGAGGCGACTGATAGCTCTCTGCCGCAGTTAAGGAATACACCACAGCTTTCTTCTCTAGCCAAAGTCGACATAACCTTGTTGACTACATTTAACCTTGCAAGGTCGAATTCTTTTGCTCTCCTAAAGGGGATCAATAAATCCATAGTCTCGCCGGATTATGAGACCGATAGGAAGCCACCATTTTTAATATTTAGATCAATGTCAGTGATTTCAGAAGCAATTTTAGCCTCGACATACTAAAAGATGTTAAGCTCTCTCATTAGATATTCAGCATATTGTCCTGCATAAAAAGAGGTTCCACATGCAGCTATAATTAGATTCTAAACGCTGGCTAGTTTTTCCTCATGCTATTCTAATCCTCCTAATTTTACCATGGGTTCTCCTGAGATAAAACGAGCTCCATAATTGAGTGCTTTACATACAGCGTTTGGTTGGTCAAGCATCTCCATGACATAAAAGTGATCTATGCCAGGTGGCTTCTTAATTTTGATTAACTCTTCTTTAATTTCTCTAAGTTTATGCCTTTCAACTTGCTGTTAAATGGATATCTTTATGATCTCTTTATCGTCAATGTTATAATAGTGCTTTGTGTAGTCTTGGAACACAGTTGTATCAGAAGCAACTATTTGGAATAGATGCTCGTCTCTTCCCTCATGTTTTTTTTCATTGCTATCAATGTCTAGCGTTTTAACTTCCTCGTCCTCAACAGCATGAAGTTCCTTAGCAACACCGATGACCATTGTGCCAGTGTTCTTAACGATATACATCGAAGTAGGATCAAGAATAGATATTAATACGAAAGAGTAAGCTCCTTCTAATATCTCAACACACTTAGTGATAGCCTCAAACAGCTCATGGCCCTAGTCCAAAAATATACCAATGTAGAGAGCAACGATTTCAGTATCAGTCTGTGAAACTGGCCTGATACCGTATTTGTCCCTTAACTCTTCTTTTAAATGATGGTAGTTCTCAATTAGACCATTATGTATCAATGCAATTCTTTCTTTTTGGTCATAATGAGGATGAGCATTCACATCAGTTTTATCTCCATGAGTGGCCCATCTGGTGTGGCCAATGCCGATGCAGTGATCATGCTTGCCCTTGCCCTCTAGTTCCATGCGCTTGATGCAATCTCCTCCAAATCTATCGGATGATGCAAATTTTGTCCTGACAAAGTTGCCTTCCTAGTCAATGGAGACTATTCCACAAGAGTCGTAGCCTCTAGACTCCAATATCTGCAGTCCTTGTATGCAGACCTCACCAGCTTTCGCTTAGTTTCCAATATATCCTACAATACCACAGCATTAGTTGTTCTAAAAGTTAGAACCAAATATCAAATTTCTGAGATAGGATTATTGATCTTGCATTAGATTCATCATTACTAGAGAGGATAGACCGAATTTGGCAAGTTTTCCTAGATTACTCTACTTCTACAAGGTTTAATTGATTATATATGCTTTTGCAGAGTGTTCTATATGATAGATAAGCATTATAAGGAATATGTCTTACGATTTATTAAGTATTTCTATAGTAGTTTTGATCTCATCATTTGCGAGTAAAGTCTAATGACACGTTCAATAAGCAAATTTAAATAATTAATCTTATAATAAACTATTCTAAGTTGGGAATATTTTATGGTTTTAATGAAAGTTAGCTATGAATGACATCAGATCTCATAGAAGTGGGGTTTTGGGGTTTTGGGGTTTTGGGGTTTTGGGGTTTTGGGGTTTTGGG